CCACCCCATTTATTAATCAAAGGCGTACATTACCGCTTGAAGCTCGGTTTGGCCCGCTGCTGCCCATGCGAGCCAGTTCTCGAGCCCCGAGCTGGTCCGGGTCTTGTACTTGATTGTACCTGACAGGGGTATACTGGGGTCGACGGTCCCAACCCCTTCCCTTACGGCAGTGGCAGACGTAGGGTAGCCGAGCGCAACAGAAAACGAAAAGCATGTGCCGGAGTCAGCTGTTGCGGGCCTGGCGTTAGGCCGCCTCGTCACCCTCAGCATCCCTCAGCAAACCAGGCGGGCGCGAGGCCTCGTAGACGGTTCGTTGCCAGGACCACTGCGCGGTTCGCCTCAAATCTCGAAGCCGCTTGAAACCCTCACCAGCATGCCCTTTCCACGAGCCGGTGCCGAAGCGCTGGTGCATTCTTTGTCAGCGGAGTGCGGTTGCATGGGGGGCCTTACGTAGGTTTCAGATGTGACAGCATGTGACAGCCAGACTCCGCATGCGAACAAGTGTGGAAAGCACCATGTTAAGACGATCACACATGTGCTCACTTTACTCATCGTCGCCCCACGATGTAGAAGATCATGAAAATCGGTTTTTGCCATTAAGGTGGCTTGGAAAGGGAAGGCGAAGCGGTCGGCTGTGAAGTCTCGTGCTCCATAAAGGACCAGCGGACGGGTTGAGGACTGGTCGAATGCGAACTGTCGGTGTAGCAGGAGGCCAGAATGTTGCCACTGAGCCCCTGGGCGGTGTCGACCCGTCATCGCAATAGATGGCCAAAACCCGCGGCACCTTTTCCTCATCAAATCCCAGGTTCCCGGAGCAGCCCGAATCTGCATTTTTTGCGAAAGCTTGGTAAACATAGTCCAGTTCGACGATTGCGCACTGAACCAGTGACATGCCGAAGTGCTTGCTTCCACAACTTGCAGGTCCGCTGCTTGGTGTGCTCGGCTTCGTGCTGATGCCAGCGGTATGGTCGGTCCCAGAGGCAAGCCATATAGTAAGGTGATGTCCACAGATATGGTTTCAGTGTTTGTATGAGGCCCTTGTGGCAGCGGAGTTGGCCACGGCTTTCCCATCGAATGCTGGTTATGTAACCTGGGTCACAGCAACTCGGCTTCAATGCGATGCATGCTGAGGAGCTGGCAAAGGCAACAATTGCGAAAATACCACCTTCAAGGATGGTCAAGAAGCACAGCTGTTTGTGATGCTTTTGTGGCTCAACGACAAGGAATCGGAAACCCTCATGCTTTGGAACCCTGTTATGTTTTCGACTGTACCCTGCAATGCGGGCTTCTTCCTAGCTAGAGCTAGGTGGACGGCAAAACAACGCTGGAAAGGAGTTGGTGGCTGAAGATATGGTGCCGCGGTAACAGTCGTACTACTACTACTACTACTACTACTACTACTACTACTACTACTAGTACTACTAGTACTACTACTACTACTACTACTACTACTACGTAACTGTATAGCCTTGCTCAGTCAATCCGTCAGCAACTGACTGTCGTGCCGGCGCTTGTAGCAGCACAACTTCAGCGCAAGCAAAAAGCCTGCTTGGATGTTGTAAGTCTGATCGTGAAACTAACAGACGACTACAGTTGGGGCAAGAGCGTACACCGTCCGTGTGTGTGTGTGTGCGTGGGTGTGTGTGTGTGTGTATGTGCGTGTTCGTGTGCGTGTGCGTGTGCGTGTGTCGTGGCATGCCCTGCTGTCGATTAATTTTCCCATCGATTCCGAATCGTCAGGTTTCGAAACAGGAAAGGACAAGGTGTCCACCTGCCTTAATCTGCTTCCAATTGGAAGACACGCAGTGTTGTGAGGCGCAGCGTTACGTGCAGCGGGTATGTTTCGATGCAATGCGCGAACTCAGTGCTACCGACGACGTCGAATGCTGCCGAGGCCGCCTTCGGGCCATTTTGGGGATTCCTCGAGACATGGCTGCACATGCTGCACGCAGAATGTGCGAACAGCGCACATCTGAAGAAGTATATCATGAAATGGTCATGCATGCTCAGGAAGGTTTCTTGTCATGGGTGGCCGGTGTGAGTGACAACTCAATTTATCCGGCACCTCGGCATATCCCGTGACATGTTCTCTGACCCTCTCAGCATGGGTGCAGCACAGTTAGTTAGTGTCGGTTACAGTTACAAGCAGTTGCGATGGCAGAGGTACTGTTCTGCGATTACCTGCAACACATACTTCCGGCGACGGCCGACGGGACTCCACGACCCTTGGTTGTCGGAAGGATTGGCCTTCATTTTTACATACTTCTTTGAGCGTCTTCCTCATGAATCGCGAATCACGACGATGAGGAATATTATGTGCACTCGCATTCGCGTTGGCTTTGTCTTGGCTGAACTACGCTGGCTTGAACATCATGGGCTGGTCACGTGCTACGCATTTGTTGCCTGAGTGAGTTGTGGTCAACGTCTCGATTCAGGTTTGTCTGCAGTTGCATGGCCGTCACTGCAAGAAGACTCAGGTCAGCCGTGGGTTTGGCGATATTCACCATTCTGCCGTTTCTGTACATAGTTCCAGCTGGTTTGCCTGAGGTGGAACTGGCCATCAGGTTGCAGCGAGTCATGCTACAAGTATTTATTTCATGTGCGCTTCTTCATCCTCAACCCTATGTTTCTCGCCGGCGCATGTTATTCCCAGGCGAACTTCTTGGTTGTGTGCCGAATCTGACAATGGTAAGTGCAAGTGCGGGGTGCAGTCGGTGCCGGGGTCCTCTTCCTGTTCCAAACCGAAGCTGAGCAACGAGGCCAAGACTTCAGGAGATGGATTGGCAAAAATACTTGACCCTTGGAGATACTCTCGATTGCATCTTCAAACTCGGAGCTGATTGTGAATTGTCTGAAGCCCCTGGCATAGCACACTCAAGTGTTCGCGTGGATCTTTGTGTCAACAAGGAATGTTCTTTTCTGGAATTTGAATTATTGGGACAGTGCATCAACACTTGCCGGTGAAGTCCGTGATCCGCGGCGGGTTTTTCCACAGGCGCAGAAGCCTTGATTGGCAGCTAGTTGTGCTCCGTGCCGAGCTGGTTCAAGTGCTCTCGAATTCAATTAGATGTTCAGGCTTTGGAGGAGTTGTACTGATATGCAGATGAGACAAACACTGTAGATGCATGCGCCATCCGAGTCCCACATGCAGTGGATTGGAGGCCCTTTGCTTGGCTATGATGTTCGTGATCGCCTCGTATGTCTTCCCACTCTTCGTTGGTGTGGGTCGCTTGCTTGCTCTGGCAGTTGACCCAAAACATCAGGATTGTGTAGCCAAGTGCAGTGCTGCATTGAAGAGTCTGACACAAGATGAGCAGAAAAAGTGTCACAAAATAAGCCATGTCTGCTCTGCGACAGTCTTAGGAGTACTGATTTAGTTGATACATGCTCATACAGGACGCTGCCATCCCAAAAGGCTTTCCTGCCGTTGTGCTCCCTCAGTAAGGCATCCAGACAGACACGGCAAAGCTGCGATGGAGGACGCATTTTCACTCGCTGTTGCCATCGCTGCCGTACCAGTGGCAAGACATAGAGTGTCCGTCGTGGAGCCCGTCTATGTTCTACTCGTGTTATGTCGTGTGGTGAAGCAAGCTCTCAGTTTGTTCAACAGCCATGTTTTTGGTCTCCCTGTACCTGTAGTTAGTTCTCACCGCCACTTGTGGTTCAGCATCATGTTGTGGCTTTCTGGTATCACTCTCGCGTCGCTTCGTTCTCTACAGCTGCTACTATCATTGTTTACGCTTTGCTTATGTCACAGCTTTTTAGACATCTGTACCCTACTTCGCGATTCGCTCAGCCATGTAGGAGGCAAAAAGTTACCGCTTTTTCATGTGAGTCTATATCTTCCCGTACGTGGCAGGATTTCTGCTCGCAGAACAGAGCGATTTCGTGGAGCAGTGGTTGTCATGTTGCTGTCGTTTTGGCGCATTGCCTGGCATACCTGAAAGGGGCATTCTCGTTGCATGCGGTTGTCCACGGAGAGCTGTCTGTGTTGGGATCTTGTCTTCTCAGGCCTTCAACACGTTCGGTGTGCATCCCCGACTACGACTGGCATGCTTGAATTTATGTAACTCTGGTGTACATCGTGATACATACGGCCCACAGGATACGACTGGTTTTGAGTACCAGAACTAAGACACACCACAGGCGCTGGAATCAGTTCCTGTCCTAATGCGGGGGCAAGATGAGCAGGTCATTTCTTGAGCAAGGCCCGAAAGAGTGCAAGGGTCATCTCTTGATCGCTGCCGCAGGAATTGGCGAAGTGGCACGCTAACACTAGTTGGAGAAGCCACCGGCGGAAGTCTCGTGAAAAGTTGGGTTGTGGCTAAGCAGCAAACAGTGCCTGGTGCTGACGTCGTCTTGGCACCGCGTTCACAACCGACGTGCTGGCACAGAGAGAGCTGCTGTGCCAGTCGTGAAGTGCAAACTTCATGCAGGTGTTGTCTGCAGCCGTCAGCAACATTGGTCAGTTCACGATTCCTGGATTTAGTTTATTGTGAAAGTGTGTTCCGGTGTGCACGAAATGCTCGAGTGTCGGTTCAGCATTCATGAGGTGCGAGCAGGCGGCTTGTCTGCTGCTCTGAAGACGGAAAGTGTGCGGAAGCCGTTGGAGTCACAGCAGTATCGAGATCAGTTTCAGATGGCTTTTTCAACGCTTTCGCGCGGCAGCTACATCTCGGTAAGATCGTCTCACCTGGATGTTCACAACTCTTGTAATTAGGCGACTTTTGTTCTCAAAGCATCGAAGGCCGCGAACGCGTATCAGCTGGAGGGCATGGCGGAGCACCAGGGTTGCGCATTCAGGTTTGTGCTTGTTAAGGCTGCTTAAGCAAGCGCTACCATGCGCTACTCTTTCGCTCAGCGGTGCTGCTTGTAGCGAGTTTTCCTATTTCAACACCGATTTCGGATAGTGTCGGCATGTTGCCGCCGCCGTGTCTTGCAGCAGCCCCTCGATGAGAGGAGCTTGGATGGTTGCCAAAATGCTTCACCCTTCGATCGCGTTCGGCTCTGAGATGCAAATATTTTCAGTTTGCCCGTCAGTTTGTTGCAATTGACACCCTTACTGCTCGTCGCGGTTTCGGCTCAAGATCCGCACTCAATATGGTCTTCGCACGATCCACCCTAAGTCAGGACTCACGTCCGAGGAGATTCGGACTGGCTACGCAGCTTGGATGGAGCTTCGGAGCAAGTCACAGATTCCGTGGGCTGAAGTATCAGTTCGAGCAACTAAGGTATTTGATCCGGCAGCCTTGCCCATGCAGCAGCTGCCTCAACAACACTTGAACCCTGCAGTCGGGGCAAGCTACGGCAGCGCCGCAGGCCTCCATCAGTTTAGTCAGCTTTCGTTACTGTACTGGATTATTGAGCAACACAGGGATGGTCCAGAACTGATGAATAAAACCAGTTCCACGTCGTCCCTGAAGACAGAGTCTGTAGAGCCCAGAAATTCTTACAAGTCTGTGGCTCGTACATTGCAGTTCTGCTCTCAACATTACTTTCAGCTTGTTGCGTGAAGACGATGCTTATTCGCATGTGCGGGGTTCAGCCGCCAGCCCACGTCTCAACCATGTCGATATCTTGTTCGTTTGTTTTTGTCGGTGTGTGGCCGGTCATGTGGCAGTCAGTGTCAGTGTGCGTGTGTGGTTGTTTCTTTAAACTTCTTTCTCTCTTTTTCCATCAGTCTGTGTCGCGTGTTTGGTGACATTTGGTGGCTGGATGTGGTCTTGCAGCAAGCCGTCACGACAGCCATGGCACATTCCGTACAGTCCTGGCTTCACGCGAGCGTACCAGACAGTTGCTCGCCCTGCGAGCACTGTTGACTAATGCCCAGCTCGTTTGCCAGGCTCCGACGGACACTTGGCCCAATTCTTATCAGCCACTAGATTGCCGGCTGCACATGAGACGAAATCGGCGACAAAAATGCCAGACTTACGCGACCGCGCTGCCACATGGAGTGTTACGGCAACCACGTGCTTCTAACTTCTAAGAGCACCTGCACATCGCTGATTTGCTGCTTCACGTCGTGGCAGGCATGCAGGAACAGGACTTCAACAAAAGGTGTGTGTGTGTGTATCGCAGAGTAGTGAGGTTGCATCTCGTCTGGGTCGACGAACTTGCCCGATGAGCGGGGGCGCAGTCAAGGGCTCTGATGCATGCAGCATGTCACTCTGCAGGTGTGTATCTTGCAGTGCCCAAGTTATGCAGATAGCCGAGAGCAGCTCGAAACCTTCGACTGTTACCTTGTTAGATGTGTATCCGTGTACCTGTTCGTGTGCCTGAGGTTTCTTCTTCCCACTGGAGCCTTTCTGGTTTTTGGGCCATGTGAGCCCATCTTTGTACGAGCTGCCTGGGTCTACAATTGGTCCGACGGTAAACTTTGTCATTTCGAGAGATTCTGAGAGCACCTCGCCAGGGGAAGTCCTGCTTTTCGGCTTGTTGGAATGACTTGTTTCTCGCATCGTTCGGTCTTGACAACTGCGGATCGGTGCCATCCCTGCGCATCAACTGACACTGCGTCCACGGCCTGACCGTATGTTTCAGGTTCGTGCCACGTCATTTGCGAATCATCCAGAGCAACCGGTCGTGAAATTAAACATGCAGGTACGTGAGTGGGCAGGTTAGGCTGCATGACGGAGAGGTCCATGCAGCAGTTTTGAGTCGGCTTCATCCAGCTTCGGCGCACAGCTACAATCAGCTACAGACGTTTGCAGGTTGGAGGGTTCGATCGTGCTCGCTCGCTCCCACCTCTATCGGATTCAGGCTTGCCACATCTTGTTCTTTTGGTGGGCACCACCACAAATGTGGCTCGGCAGGGTATCCTTGAGCCTTTGAGCCTGACGATGTTGCTACTGGCTTTTAGCTGCGTTGTTGTCCAGACAGCAGAGTCAGCAGAGGGACAAAGGGCTTCGCTCATGACATAGAAGCAATCAGATATCTGAGTGCGGTTTTTGACTCTGTGGCAGCCCTGTGCAAGGCAGTGCTCATTGGCAGAGTTTTAGAAGACTGCAGACATTGGAGCCGCTTGGTGTGGTTGTGTCACGTAATCACACGCAAGCACAAGCTTCACATGCTGCCGTGCTTCTGCAGTTGGATCGGAGATGGTGTACGTTGCAATGCCGTGCATGCATCGATATCACGCGGAGGTCATCGCAACACGGCCTACCTCGCTGTCTTGGTCACATCAGGGGTATTCTCTCTGCACAGCACTGCCCTTACGGCTTTGGTCAGCTGACGAATCGGTTCATTTTGGGACACAGCGAGGTGAGGCAAGGCTTTGTGTTTGCAAAAGCCAGCTATTCGTGCGCAGGCTCTAGGACTGAGGGCGTTCGTTCTTCAAGCCTAGTAGTGCGGCGACCGGGACACAACCCTATGACTTGAAATGACTTGAACGACCTCCAGTACGGGGTGATTAGGGGTGATTTGGGTAACAAACAAACCAAGAACAGGGAAAGAGAAGAGAGAGCTCGAGTCATCCCGTTTCCATGTGGAGACCTGGTTCATGCTCGCGAGTTTCTTGTTGCACATACGAGAGCCATGAGCGAGAATTGTTGGTTAAGGGAGCCTTTGAGGCTTGTGGCGACTCTTTTGTCAGATGGCTCAGTATCGCGACTCGGCAATGCAATGGCATTCCTTGAGTTTTTGGGCCAATGCGAGTTTGTTTGGCCACGTCAGGCTATGACCTGCAGCAAAGATCTGCGCAGATTCAGCTGTTCAAAGATAATTTGGCCAGGCAGCAGTGGGCTGACATTCCAAGTGGACTGCTAGGGGTCTGGGAGGTCTTTGAATGGGCCTGTGATACCATGTCCTGCAAGTGCCTTGGACATACGACTTACACCATTTTCGGAACTGTCATCTCGACATCTCCACAGGATACTTCTCATGCTGGGATGGAGGGGTGCACTGCTTGCTGAACACTGAATACAGAAACGGCTGCCATCTGACGATGTCACACACTGCCGACTCAACAGGAGCTGGTCAAGCGCACGCCTTAATGACCATAGAGTTTTGGCAGATTTTGGCAGGCTTAAGGCTTCCCTGGTTTGTGGGGTGGGGCGGTAGGGGGGCGGTTAATGACATCCACTTCGCCACCATCCCCATGAACATCATCCATGTGCCGGCCATCATCATCACTTGCTTCGATGCACAAAACCCTGGTAAGAACAGCAGTTTTAACGTCATCAATGTGCGCATCATGATCACCATCATAATCATCGCTTTTCCTGCATGTTCCGATTTCAATACTCCAAAAGCAGCTGTCGACGGACCTTAGTCGGTTGGCAGACGCCAAGAACGAGAAGAAATTTGACTTCGCATTTGGAGGGTTCAAAACTCCTATAGGGGCCAGTGCCATGGTCACTAAGGTGCGCGTTACCTTTTTGTGAAGGGTCAATCTCAGGGCCTCAGCAAGGTTGCATCTGGAAGCTGGTGTGATTTAGCATAGTGCCAGCGTGGAATGTGTTGTGGCTTTCGTGTTCCCAGCTGAATGACCTGGTGTCTGCATCATTACATTGTGTCTGCATGAGCAGCAGGGATGCACTTGCAATCGCAGCTGCACTGTGCTCTTCGGGGTTGATTGGTGTGGTACGGTGTGGCACAGGCAGTTTCAGCTGCTGGCCAATGAGTTGGAGGCCTCGAGTTGGCATGCGCGACTCACCTGGTTCGAGAGTGCGAAAAGTGCGAAAAGGACCTCCTCGCGCGATCCGCAGAGACGGAGGTTGGCCTAGCAGAGCGGAGCCTCGATGCAGACGCTTGTCTTCCAAGCTCGACCTGGGCCTTCGCAAGTCTTCAAGGGCCATGCAAGTGCTTTGGAGCTTCTCGGGGACCCCGTGCCGATGTAAGGAAAGGCGGGATTTTTCCAGGTTCCTGAAGAACATTGGACCGAAGCTGGCCGACGAGATGCTCAGTTGCACCTGAGGTCCTGCAGGTGTTCATGTGGAATGGGATCCGTTTGGACAATGGATTGTCATGTCGGGATGTGCCGCAACGCGAGGCCACCCCCGCCCTTCCTGGAGCACTTCCGTCAGTTTCTCTCCCTTTGGCTTCAGATGCTTGCAGAATGTGCAGCTGACGCCTGGCAAGGCCACGACAAGCTTAAGTAGCCAGCGTAGCCTTTTCGAACAAAAGTCTGGTGAGAGAGTTGGTCCATGGAGCTGCTCGGAAATGACCATTCCAACCCACTTGCGGCGGCATATAGCCACTCGAACTTGGTGCAACAGTTGACGGCATTGGACCGCTCTCCGAGGTAGTGGCGCAGGAAAACCTAAAAAGACTTGTGAATGCAGGAGCAAACCAACACCATTGACAACCTGTGTACAGCGTGGCGATGCTCTAACGTTCTGTTGTTTGCTGCTTCAGCGACTCATCTCAGGACCCCGTGGCTCAACCATACAGCGTGATCGGCGAGGTCCGTGTCATGCACCCGAGGGTCTCTGTTGGAGCTGCATGGAGTTAGGACTACTGTAATACGACTGTAGTTACGGGTGGGAAGATGACTGGCGGAGCTACCTGGAGTTCAGTGAAGCATGTGACAGTTAATAGAAGTTGTGGCGCGATGAATATGGAGCTTCACGACGTTCTGGCATCGTCCGTTCCGCTGAATCTGAAAGCTTAAGCTGCCCATACGCAACGCAAGCTTTGCAATTTAGATCGTCACGAGTTGACTGTGACAGGTTGAGTTCAACTCCTTCGACAGATCCTGCGAGCTCGCCGTGCGCCTGAGTGAGCAGCTGAAGGCGAGTTCGGAGTGTAGTCATGTCTATGAAACAGGCACTCATACATAGATATATATATATATATAAAGAGAATATATAGAAATGCTTGTGTTTGTGTATGTATGGATGTATGTGAATGTATGTATGCATGTATGTATGTAGGTGCATGTATGTATGTGTATACGTGCATGTATGTATGTATGTATGTATGTATGTATGTATGATTATGTATGTATGATTATGTATGTATGTATGTATGTATGTATGTATGTATGTATGTATGTGTGTGTATGTGTGAAAATACATGTATAGAGAGACCTCCCTACTTTCTCCACCGTGCCACTTTCGTGGCTCAAGATCATGAGCACTTTGTGTGATCCCTGGAAAGCGGTGCTCCGTGACGTTCAGGGTTACTTTGATCTGAGGTTGAGCGAGCAGTGCACGCTGTACTTTAGGGTATTGTTTGTGTGCTATCTGAGTACGTTGTACTTTCGCATGGCAGCGGAGCTGAAAGCTCCAAGGCACTTTGGTGAGAAGACATGGCCTCAGGAGGCGAAGGGGACTTTACTGTACAGGAAAGCTTCGGCTTCCCTTGCCTGAGACTTTCAGCGGCAATCCTGCCGACTGGGTGGGCCTGGAACTTTAAGGCCTACATTTCGATGTTGGAGACAGGTGCTGTCACTTTGCTAGACAATGCAGAGGCTAGGAATGATGAGTTTTTAATGAACATTTGAATGTCAGTTTGGACACAGTTGATCCGAGTACTTGTCTCCCGGAAGCTACATTTCTTGGTTTCTCAACTTGTGAAAGATTCCGCCAAACTTATCGTTCGGCAAATCGAGGATAGCAACGGCTTTGGGACTTGGAGGAGACTTTTCAAGAAGTTCTCGCTGCCAGGAGCCACAAGGAGCACGTCACTGTTGACGCAGCTCTTGGACTTCAGGTTCAACCCAGAAACTTTTGAACAGGACTTTCAAGAGCCGAAACACGGTACGTGGGACAGTTACTCGCGAAGGGCCCTGTCTTACCACACGACCAGCAAAGCGAAGCAGAGCTAGAAGTGCCTTTTCCTCCTTTTCCCTTTCCTTTCATAAAGTTCCAATGCTGATTTCCTTTTCCTTGCGACTTCGAAAAGTCCTTTGTTTTTCCTTTTCCTTTGGTTTCCACAACGCTGCTACTGCTGCTGCTGCTGCTAAGCGCCTGTGTCCATGTGTGCCGATGGTCCACCTTGGAAAGTTGCATTCGCCGAAGTTTGTGCAACTGGGTTCATCAAAAGTCGAGAGCGATGGTATTCAAGAATAACCTTGCGCACCTGAGCATAAGTTCGCAAAGTTCAAGCGTTCAATCTCACATGTTGTTGCAAAACTCCCGTTGCCTTGTTCAGCAACGTTGCTACAAGCACACCATCCTGCAGGTAAAGGTGCACCTGACAGTCTTTCATATCTCGACTTGATTGTTTCCCAAGACGAGGAACAACTTTGGAACGATGAGCAAGGTGATTGGACTTACTTTGGGTCTGACGGTTGGTCAAAGAAATAGTGGGGCTGAAAGTCCTGGTGGTCCGTCCGCGGTCACAGCAGACACGGGCAAAGTTGCCGCGCCGCTAGAAGACGAAGCCTCCTCCTTAGGTTTCTGGGTCAAAGTTTCGGCCTTCGCGCAAGAAGTGGCCTCTGTAGGCCGGCCAAGGTTCCGAAGGAAAGTCCGAAGACCAACCCCAAGGATCCCACGAAGACTCCCAAGACCAAAGTGGGTCATCCCAAGTCTGATCCCAACTGTTGTCTTCATTGTAACTCGCCCATTCGGTCCACTACTACTACTGTTACTACCACCACCACCACCACCACCACCACCAGCACTACTACTACTACTACTACTACAACTTCTACTACTACTACTTCTTCTACTACTACTACTACTAAAATGAAGGGGCGAGTTTAAGATATGTCTCTATATGTGTGATGAACCGGAATCGTGGCATGTTTCAGTTTTGTGATGAACGGAATCGCCACATGAGAGGGGGTGTCTAAGACTTTTATATATATATATATATACATGATTAACCGAAATCGCCAGCGCGAGCCCCCCCATGAGCTTTCTGCTACACTGCACCACATGAGGGGGCGTGTTTAAGATTTTTGGTGAACATGAGGAGCTGGAGACATGTTCGCGTGTGAACCTGCGAAGATGCTGTAAGTGACAACGTCTTCACATCGGTTCAAGCTTCCTCAGAATCGCAGTTCTTGGAATTTCCAGCGTCGGCCTTAACAGCTTCTGCATAGGGCTCGCGCAGCGAGCATCGTGGGTAAATAATAGGATGTGGAGATCAGATCTGCCCTACGTGCTGTAAATAACAGGATGCAGGTGTGAAGAAAAGTGCGCGGAGAATTTCCACCTGGCCCCAGTTGCAAATGCTTTGGGACAGGAAAAACCAAAATAACTTGAATTCATTCTCAAACCTTGACTTTGTATCACATGAAGCGATGCAGCAGGTTTCGTTTCAGTGAAGAGTGTCAACGCTTGCGGGAGTTTGCTTTTATTACAAGCGAAGGGATCTCGCAACCTGATCAAAACATGACGGGCTTTCCGCGTTCCCTTCGCATTCCCACAAGTATAACGATCGTGAATGTCTTTTCTTGATTGCTGTCAAGAGATAGAGATGCTGTTGAAAGATGGAAAAGTAAGAC